CGACTTAGTAAGTCAGAATTCCGACTTAGTATCTCAGAATTGCGACTTTAGTAAGTCAGAATTCCGACTTATTATCTCAGAATTCCGACTTAGTAACTCAGAATTTCAACTTACTAACTCACATTTGCGACTTCGAAATAGCCATATTTCATTGTCTGTCCTTTTGTTATTGTAACGGATTCTAGGGCATGTGCCCTCCCCGCTCCCGCCCTTGTTTGTGCCTCACTGCATTGAGATACCATAGCGCGTTTTTTTTTTACTCCCTGGAAGAAACAGGCTTCCATACATACTACCACAGACATCCATGAGGTTTTGTGTCTAACTGTAGTTCTTCCTAAAAATACCTAAAGTTCCAACAATATAGTATGTCTCATTGGTTTTACATGGATGAAATGAAGTAAAATGGTTATAAACATCACATTTTCAGTATGTATAGTGCTGTGCTGTTTACATTGACAGCACTTAAACATACAGTACTTTTACATAACAATGAAGTGAATAATACCTACAGCCCAAGAATTGTATAATGTGTATTAATAACATTTTGTGTATTTTTATTAAGAAGTTTCAACAGATGTTTAACACAGCTATTCTTAATAATAACCATAATTAGAAAAAAGACAATTGCTAGAGAATTGAAAGTTACTTGAATTTAAAAACAGAGTACATTATGAAATTCAGAGAAACCAGGTGCATTTTTATGGTGTAAAGAAAAAGGTAATGCCAGATTTTATTCTGAATACCAGCACAGTATTAACAGTGTAAATACTTCAATCTTCTTTTCCAAACACAAAATTACGGAATTTATGATTGGTTGTGAATTTAACTTTTGTACTGAGATAGATTTGACTTTTCCTGAAAGAAGCCATAGCATTCCTCTTTGTTATAGTAATATAAGATGTTTATCATTCTTAGTGTCATCATCATTTATCATTTTTACTCTTTAAAAGAGTCATACTACAGTCCCAGTGAAATATAATATTTTGAAAATATAATATTAATCTGTCCTCATTTACTTTTCTTTCCTCGTTTATTTTTGGGGCTTCATCTTTATTTTTTGCATATTTTCTCCAGTTTAATATAGGGAGTGTCACAGTTCCTAAATACTTTTTTAAGGTAAGAAAATAAAATCTAAATCTGTTGGGGAGGGTTATAGTAGAAAGGATTCTGGACTTTGTAGTTCCCAGCCTCATCTCCATTTCCCTTAGCTATAAATGCATCTGGAACAAGTAGTTAATTCCATGCTGAAAGATTTCTTACCTTTCACTCTTCTAGAAGATACCTTTCAGCATGGAATGAATCTTTACCTTTACTGTTCCTTTGCAACCTACGCATGCTGACCGCAGCTCCCTGTTTGAACCTCTGAGAATGCATCTGCCCTCTACAGTACATCTCTTGCTCTCATTGTGTTATGATACACAAATGCATATCCTGGAGATCTTTACTTTCAAATAATCAGTAAAGATACAGTACAATGGAAATTACTGTTATACATAACAGTTTTTTTTAACTCACACAAATGTTTCCTATTATAGAATCATTTCCATTTTCAGCAAACAATTGTACGCTACCTTCTTTATTTCCCAACAACTAATACATACATACAACAAACATCACTGGTGGACCATGTTGTTACGAAAGCATATACACAGAGATAGGTTTATAACCCCACTGCAATACTGGGAAAGACTTAGCCTTGTGTAATTTTGCATCTGAGCAATTCAAGGTCCGCAAAAAAAGCATATTTGAACTGCATTGATGATTTTATCTGGCATATTGGCAATGTGTCTTTAAATTGCTGTTTTGACATTGACAATTATCACATGATGAACAGTCTATATTTTAATATGAATATGGCTTTAAAATATTCAAATTCCCTGTGGACAAACTGCCCATTCTGTTTATTTAATATAGAGAAAGGCCCCAGAAGATCCGGAGCTTTTTTCCTATGTAGCCTCTAAATGAGTGAAAACCACAATTGAAACTGTAGGACATCTGCACGTGAAAAAAATATCACATGCTTTTTTTATGAGCCGTTATTAATCAGGCAAAAATTATTAATTATATTTCACTGTTTCATGGCTTAATTGTGGGTGGTATTTTGTATTTTAATGCGACTGCTTTTCTGCTGGGTCCCAATTCTTATCTCTATTTGGATGCTTATGGTTCTTTTTGGAGCACAGAAACCCACTTTAACGCAGAACCACTCAACAGATCGTGATACTGTACTTAAGAAGATGGCTGCCATGGCATTTTTTCAGTTAAATAATAGATGGCCTTTTAACCTGTTTTAAATATTAAACAAATATATTGTTGGTCTTATTATCATCTATGTCCTGCTGGTGCATCCATTTGTTCTAAACTCTAGCTTGGAGCTATTGATGTGAAATTGCATCTTTAATGATCTCTATAACCCTCATCACAGGAAAATAGAAAGAGACACTTTTGCATCATTTGATCAGTCCAATGTATGGAAAAGGACTATCCCATCTGAGTCAGTAGATACCCTTCAAGCAACTAAACCTGAGATTAAACTACAGTAATTTTAAATTATGGCCAATTAACAACAGAGGCTTCTTGCATCCAGCAGTAAGAGAGCGAGGCCAATATTTAGTCATTTTGTAATTTAGGTTTGAAGTTTGCTAATGCAAAAATAGCTAAATAAAAGGTTTAATTGGATTTAAGGCAGTTCACTTTGAATAAAAAACAATATACACAAGACTTGAGACTGCATATACAAAATTAAAAGCTCAATAATTAGTATTTTTGCATTTACTTGCTCTTATTGTATTTATGTAATGTTTTTTTCTTGAATACATTTCATTTAATGGCTTACTCCAGTGACCAAGCTGTTCTTAATGTCATCCCTGTACGTTTTGCCTGACTCATCTATAAGATGTCAGAAATATTTATTGAATAGTAAAGTTTTAGTTTATGAAATTTGTCACTTTCCAGATAACATTAATTTAACACCAATGTGATAATCAACCATCTCTTCTAAAAAAATGCACATCAGGCTTCATTCAATGAAGTTCATACAAAGAAAAAACACTGATACACCAAAAGCATGGGTAATTTTCTTTTAGACCTCGTTGGTTAGGTAAAAATTATTGTCCTTTAACACCACTTAATGTCAAAAACAAAAACCTTATGATTTAGATTGTACTCATATTCTTGAGCAGTGCCTTGAAGCCTTGAAGGGGCACACAACAAGAAGACAGATGAAGGATATTTATTTTCAAGGTTAAAGGAGTTTGGCATTTTTACTACTCAGGGTTAACAAGGTGCCCTCTTGTTCTGTTTAAAAAGCAATCACATTTTATTGCTCGATTGCAAAATACTTTTTGGTTAGGCATTGTCTGCAGACTCCAGCTCTCTTCCAAGTTTTTGTACCAGACTGGTATTTCTGTGGCACACATGCTAAACGTACATACTACAGTAAATTAAGGTCAGTATAACACTTTTTTTTAAATGTCTACTTTGTTACAAAAACACAAAGATAGTTTTTATATCTACAAAATCTTCATTGGGATACATGTTTGTGAATCAGTTTATTATTTGCCATTAAATGTTGAAAAGGTTCTGAAATATTAGTGAAACTACTATGAAATTAGGACCATTGGTATATTTCAAGCACTATACTCTATAATAGATTGTTTTATCAAACTCCACTGCTAATTACCAACCACAGACTATTGGCTATTACAATAAATAAGTATAAAACTACAATATTCTACATACTGTACAACAAGATTCACCATGATCAATAATGTTTCTTGACTGAAGTAATGTTATACAGTACCTGACATCTCTGTGTAGTGTTATGTCTGTGCTATGTCATTGCTCTAATAAAGACCCCAGTGGAGAATGCTATGAATCTTTTTTTCCTGGCAATAACCACAATCAGCATGTTACCATGAATTGAAGATCCACAGAGACTGTAGTTTTGATCTCCTGTCAATAAAATTTTGCTACATTTTCCAATTTAATTCCAAACCTGGCAAGTTGATTTTCACCTTATATATATTTAGTTACTTTTAAAAGTTTATTTTGTTTTCCTTATATTATGCAACACAACCAAATTCTGAAACACCCTGTAGAGAACTGATAGAATTTTATTGACTGTAATTTGTTAGATTTCAGCTGGGATTAAGGTGTTTTTTTTTAATTGTCTTCTGAAACAATTATATGATGTAATAGCATTTGGCAATACATTATCATTGTCTACTTCAGTTTCATTTAAATTTATTCAAGTTTAATGTTATTATACTCATACACAGGTATATCGTATAACAAAATGCTATTTAGTTAGGTCTCAGATGGTAAGTAGTACAAAAAAACAATGATACAATTGTATAAGGAAAAGAAAGACAGAGACAACAGGCAAAACAACATCAGTTGTCAAAATCATACATCAACATAATGAAATAAAGGATAGAAAATTATGAGGAGTGAACTTCTTGATGTGTGAGGTAGAGGTACAATAGATTCCAATGTGTGTCTGAGTTTTGATAAAAAGAGAAGGCACTGTAAGGGTTCAGATCATAGGTGAGAGAGGCTGGGAGTTTAATAGTTTTATTGTGCGGGGGTAAACACTATCTCTGAGTCTGGTAGTCCGGGCCCGAATGCTCCGGTACCGTTTTCCATATGGTAGAGGGTCATACAGTCTGTAGCAGGGGTGTGTGGGTCTTTGATGATGCTTAGAGCTTTTCTCAAGCACCA